TTGTGAGGCCATTGGGAGCCGGATACCTCCAGCTAAGCTCTCCACCTGGTCATTTCCGGTCCAGATTGTTCCCTCTATTTGATGCTTTGGCTCAGTAAAAGATAAAGGGGAAACAACACAATCGACATATGTCCTGGGATTTCATGTGATGAAAGGGATCTATCAGCCCACCTGGGGTCCCATAAGGACTCACTAGTGATAGAACACAATGGCTATTTTAGCATATGGCCAATTACCCTGCCCCTCCTACACACTACATGACCCTGTCTCCTGCAGAGACTAATTCCTCCTTCCCTTGGCTTGTAGACCACATTATTTCAAACTGAAATAATCTTTAATTTTGGTCAGTTTCAAACAAACTCAAATTTCCTGGCATATTGTGATGGATATCTGTTCTGTTTTTGGACAGAAGTCAGAAGCTCTCTGACATTAAGCTGTGTCAAAAGGAATCATAGAATCACAGCTTTAGAGCCCAAAGGGGCCTTCAAGATTTGCATGCATAGTGGTCTTTTTCGCCTCAGTTTTTCCACAACATCTGTGGAGATACATTGTTGTGCGGTACCTTCTATCTTTGTTTTTGTTCAGTTGTTTCATTGTGTCCAACTCTTCATTATCCCATTTGGGGTTTTCTTGGCAAAAATACTGAAATGATTTGCCATTTGCTTCTTTAGTCCATTTTACAGATGAGGAAACTGAGGCAAACAGGGTTAAGTGATTTGCCCAGGGTTACACAAGTAGTAAGTGTCTGAGGCTAGATTTGAATTCAAGAAGATGAGTTTTCCCAACTCAAAGGCCCAGCACTCTATCAGTGCACCACCTTTCTGCCCTTACATTCTACCTTAAATGAGCTAAATTCAGAAGATCTAACATGTTACAGAACCTATAAGGGAGTTCTGGGTTTGAAGTTAAGAGAACCTTGTTTAAAATTCTCGGTCTAACACCTACCTATATGACTTTGGACCACTTATATACCTTGGATATTGGTTTTCTCATCTGTGAAGTTAAGAATATTCCACCAGCTGACCTATGAGGTCCCTTCTATCTCTAAATCTGTGATACTACTATCAACTGCAGGATCCGCTCTTTTACTGAAGAAACAAAGTTTCAGGGAGGAAGTGCCTTACCTTAGGTGACACAGCTCATAAGAAGGAGATCCTGGAATGGTATTTGGATTCAAGAAGAAATCAGAACAAAACTTGGCTTAACAGGTTATATCCTCATTTAGCAGTGAGATATGGAGGAGTGGAAATAGGGAAACTTTGAGGGCACCCTCTACATCTAGCTCATATCAAATGCTATATTATTTCATAAGGAATGTGTTGTTATCGCTGAAAGGGAAACCAAAAATGGGTTGGCTCAACAGAAGAATAGAGTAGCTCCATATATGCCCTATTCTATTCCATGACTGGCTATACAAATCCTCTCCAGTGTCAACAAATAATGTTGCTGCATCTTTAAAGTTCATAAATGAAATCGGTGATATGACTTGAATTAATCTAGCCTCAGCCTGCATCAAGTCAACAAGCATTTATTGAGCATCCACTTTGTGTCAGGTGCTATAGGAAGCATATATCAACTACTGTTTAGATTTAATTTTTAAAATTTATTTTTACTAAATTATCCAAAGCAGAATTTTGACAGAATTGCCTAATACCTTCCAATTGGCATTTGTTACATATTACATCAAATTTTTATTTTGTTTTGCTCTGAAACTTTTATTTCATTGATATAGGGAACTCCTAGGTTAAGAAACTTCCTCTATCAATATCGAAGAAGTATCAACATACCTTCTGGGCAAATTATAATCTTAGACTTTCCTGGAGCACTGAGAAGTTCAGTGATTTATCCAGGATCACTCAGCCCATGTGCTTCAGAGACAGGATTAGAATCCCAGTCTTGATGGCTTCAAAGCAGTTCTCTATTCTCTCTGCCATATTGCCTCAATATATGTATGTATGTACATATATTTGTATATTTTATATAAAATATGTATTTTTCAAATATATGTATGTGTGCATACACATATACATATATAATGCATATATCTATGTGTACAATTATGTACATACTTATCTATGTATATCTATAATCCAGAAATACCAATGGACACTAGTTATAGGTCTTCATTGGTTTAAATGTGTATTAATAGAAAAAGTTCATGTTTATTTCATTAGTTATTTGACTCTGACCTGCTGAATTGAAACAAATTTATAAATGTAAAGGTAAAAATTTGGGCATGGAAATGCTATTCTTGAAATAAAACAATTAGAAATACATGATTCTTATGAAATACTTTTTTGTTGATGGTTTTTAGGGAAAAGTTGTGACATGTTTAGAACCACATGCAAAGTTACAAGAGTATTTGAATATTAGTAGATATTTTTCGTATACCTTGTACAGGAAAAATAAATGGTCGGCATCCAAGGAGAATTAAAGGTCTAATGTAGTATTTTAAATTGAAAATCACCATGTTTTCAAAACTAGGAGCTTTACTGTCCTTCAAACTGTCCTTTTTGATTAAATTCATTTTTTTTCAAATAACAAGCATGTATATTCTCTCCTTCCCCAATAAAAGAAAGAAAGGCAAACCTTTGTAACAAATATGCTAGTCAAGTCCAACAAAGTCTTATATTGGCCATATCAAAAATGTGTTTCATTTTGCATATATAGTCCATAACATCTTTGTCAAGAGATGGGTAGCATTCTTTATCATTTCTTCCTTGATATCATGGTTGATCATTACATTGATCAGAGTCCTTAAATTCCTCAGCATTGTTCATTTTTATAGTTGTTGCTTTATTTAAATTGTTAGTCTACATCAATTCATATATGACTTCTCAGATTTTTTTTAATCACCCTCTTCATCATTTTTTTAAAGTGAGGCAATCAGAGTTAAGTGACTTGCCCAAGGTCACACAGCTAGTACGTGTCAAGTGTTTGGTCTGAGGCTGGATTTGAATTCAAGTCCTCCTGACTTCAGAGCCAGTGCTCTATTCACTGCGCCACCTGGCTGCCCCCTCTTCATCATTTCTTAGAACATATGAACTATTCCATTAACATACCATCATTTGTTTAGCCATTCCCCAATTTTTTAACACTGCCTTAGGTTCCAGTTCTTTTCTACCACAAAAGAGCTGAGATAGATAGACAGACAGACAGACAGATAGACAGATAATAGATATAGATACTTTTACATTCAGGAACTTTTCTTTTTTCTTTGATCTCTTTTGAGTATAGGCCTAGTAATGAATGGTATTGCTGGGTAAAGTGGTATGTAGCATTCCATACTTTGGGGGTAGATGATAAATTACTTTCCAGAATAGCTGTACAAAAAAATTGTTGAGAAAATTAGAAAGCAGTCTGGCAGAAATTAGGTTTAGGCCAACACTTCACACCACAAACCAAGCTGAGCTCCAAATTGTTACATGACCTAGACATAATAGGTCACATCATAAATAAATTAGAAGAACAAGAAGACATTAGTTTTGCAGAACTGTGAGGAAGAGTTCATGATTAAACAAGGGATAAAAGACATTACAGAAGGTAAAATCTGTAATCTTGATTATATAAAGTTAAAAAGTTTTCGTGTAAACAAAACCAATGCAGCTAAGATTATAAGGGAAATAAGTAACAGAAGGAAAAGCTTCTGCAGCAAATTCCTCTGATAAAGGTGACATTTCCAATATGCATAAAGAACTGATTCATATTTATAAGTTTATGAACCATTCCCCAATTGATAGGCAAAGGTAAACAGGAAATTCTCAAGAAAAGAAATTAAAGGTATCTACTACCACATTTTAAAAAATGTTCCATATCACAAATAATTAAAGAAATGCACATAAAATCACTCTGAGTTTCTACCTCAGATTTATCAGATTGGAAAAGTTGATAAAAACAGGGGAAAGTAATAAATGTTGGAGGGGCTGTAGGAAAACAAGTACAAAAAACCTTTTTTAAGATATTAAATTTAATTACGTTTTAATTCAACCACCTAAAGTTGTAGTCATTGACTTTTTTAAAGTTTTTTTTTAATTTAAAAATATTATTTGCAAATAATGCTTTTAAAGCCTTAGGTTTATCAGATTATACAGTGACTAGTTTTGAAGATCAGAAGCATAGAACGAAGAATGTCAGACATGAAAAGAACCTCAAACATCATCTAGTCCAATTTATGTAGAAAAGTCTTCTCTCTACAACATAACTCATGTCTCTAGACAGTTGTGAGGGGGAAAAATGAGGTATCTTTGTGACATTTTGAGGCAGGACACAATAAAGAATTCAGTCATTGACTTTTTGGACATATCATGTCATCTTTCCGGACTGCAGCTTCCTATTTGGAAAAATGAGAGGATTTAATTAGTTGATCTTGAAATTCTGATATTCTATGAGTCTAGGACAAGAGTTCTTAACCTGAAGCCCATCAATTTGTAATTTAATATTGTAATGACTATATTTTGACAAAATTGCTTCTCTTTGTAATCCTGTGTATTTTAGTTTTGCATTTAAAAATATTATTCCAAGGAGAGGTCCATGGGCTTCATCAGAATGCCAGCATGGGAAAGGGGGTGGTCAATGCCATAAAAAAGGCTAAGAATCCCTGTACGACTGTTAATTTTAAGAAAAGATGGCCATGATACTCACTAGGGTATTATTAAAAGGCAAGCAGATGCAATTCTGTCCATCTAAGCATTATAGTTGGCTGCAGGCATAGATAGCACTGCAATTTCCTATACACAACAGGACAGCTCATGATGAGTCTACAAATCAGGAAAGCTGAGCCAAACAAGGAAATGCTCATGCCAGCAATGGATTTTTAGGGTTTGATGCAATCTAGAAAAGAAAAACATTTCTAACAAATTGTGTGATGGGTTGTTTTTTTTGTTTGGTTGGTTGCTTGGTTTTTTGGTCACTTTTTTTTTTAACCAATCCCGTGAATGACTGTAACTTACTGGGACATGTTCTCTTTTTCTGTGTTTTGGGTGCACTCACATCTTCATCAGCAACTTTGAATCCTCACTGATGTATGAAGTTTCTGAGCAACAGTGCAGTGGCACCGAAAGTTCAGGAAGCAGTCTGGGGAGCTCAGTCACAGCCTGTAAGAAGGTAACCTCTTTTGATGTTTACTTTCATCTCAAAGGGAGGACTTGGCAGCCAACCTGTGTCCTTTATCTTCTATAACTTTATTTAAAATGGGGTAGAGGGAAGAAAGGAAGCAAATAATGATAATCACCTAGAAATTCAATTATTCTTTAGTGAGTTTCTAAAACATAAATTTTCTAGTTAACAGTAATTTACTTTTTTTTTAATTCAATGCATGAAGCCATTAACTCATTGACAATCTATGCAAGACCTAGGACAATCTTTCAATATTTTCTTTGACCTTGACTAAGACTCCACAGAAGTTGACACCTGAATTACGTTCTTCCTACTTTGACATGTTTCCTCTCTATCACTTGTACCTTTTGTTGGTGTTGTTGATGAGTCATCTCAGTCATATTTGACTCTTTGTAACCTCATTTTGGGTTGTTCTTAGCAAAGATACTGGAATGGTTTGCCATTTCCTTCTCCAACTTATTTTACAGATGAGAAACTGAGGCAAAGTTAAGTGACTTGCTCAAGATCACGCTAGTTAATGTCTGAGGCCAGATTTGAACTCATGAAGCTGAGTCTTCCTGATTCCAAGCCCAGAGCATTGAGAGATATGTATTGAATTGAAGTGATACTTCGATAGACCTCCAATGGGTCACAATCCCTCCATGCTTTCTTCTCCTCTGTGGTTCTAATGCATGCCTTTCTATAAATTTTCATAAAGGCTCCACCCAACATAGACAGATTCTTCATGAAAATGTCATCTTCCTAACCTTCAGGCATTTGCACAAGCCATTTTTCTTACCTGAAATGTACTTTCTCCTTAACTCTGCCTTTCAGAAACCTTATCTTACTTCAAAGCTCCCATCAGATACCAATGAATATACAGATCACAGAATTTTAAAATTACAAAGGAAGTTAGAGATTATCTAATCCAACCTCACAATTTTATAGATACATAAACTGAGCCCCAGATAAAGTGACTTATGCAAGGTCATGTTGCCCTAAGACTAGAAACCAGTCTCCTTGATTACCTTTCTGGTCTGAAACTTCTGGCTACAGTGGAATCCTATATTTCAATGGTTTATTAAGTGACTAATATATACAATGTACCATATTGTTTCCCTAACTCAAGGTCCCAAGTCATAGCTCACACTTGGGTCTTCCTGCCTGGGGTAGAACCTGTAGGGTGGTTTTACAATAATTAAAAACATAAAAGCATGTGACAAATAACAATGTCAACATATTGTAACATGGTTTTAATCTCCCATCTGTTATGTATGAGTAGGGTAATTTCACCACATTTACCATTACCACACCCCCTCTGTTTCTCCTTATATGAGGCAGGGTGGCATAGTAGATAGGGTAATGGTCTTACTTAAGTCAGAAAAACCGTGGTTCAACTCTTACCTCTGATAACTTGAACAAGTCACTTAAACTCTCTCTGAGCCTGCAAAATGGTCATCATAATATCTATAGGACCTACAACATAAGGTTGTCATGAGACAAATGAAATAATGTATATAAGTATTGTGTAAACTTTAAATTGCTGTTAAAAGATATCAGTTATTACATATGTAACTAAAATTTATTAAGTGTCCATAACACCTCTAGGAGCTTTGAAATTATAATCAAGTAGAAAAGATGAGACAATCACAACTAAAAAGTGATGTGATAATACATGAAAAGTTAAATAACACTTAGAGGACAACTATGTAAGAGATGTCATAGGACATTATCAGATTAAATACCAAATAACAGTACAGACAAAAAAGTGCTATCAGCTTAGAGATGAGAGAGGTCACAGGACCAAAGAACATCAGAGCTGGCAGGAATCTTAGAGATCATCTCATCCAATCTGGTCATTTCAAAGCCTCAGGAAACTAACACCATGTCTATGCCGCAGTGGTCAGAGGAGACTCCATAGCAGAGCTAGGCTCTTGTAGTTGTACTTTGAAAGATGAATGAAAATTCAGCCAAAGAAGGCAAAGGCTAGTAAGCATAGCAAGAGTTTATGCAAATAATGTGGGTGGAGTTAATATGTATGGCTGGTAGGTTTCTTTTGTTGTTGTTGTTGTTGTTTTACAAGATAACAAAACTAGTAAATGATGGGAAGTCATTTACCTAGATTTTTAACAAAGTTCTTGATAAAAATATCTTGTAATAATCATGTGGAGAAGATGGAAGGATAAGAATTAAATGCTAATACAGTCAGATAAGTTCATATGTAGCTGGATGGCCAGACTCAAGAATATTTGTGAAGGGTTCAAAGCCAATGTAGCATGAGGGGTCCACTAGAGGATCCCACTGGAGAAATGAATGTAGATGACACAAAGCTGGAAGGGACAGCTGACATAATGGATCCGAGTTGGGATCTAAAAGGATCTTCACAGGTTCTAGCCTTGGAATGAATCTAACAAGACAAAATCCAATTGGAATAAATGTGTTATACTTGGGTACAAAAAATTAACACCCCAATTATAACACAGAGTTAGACAGAAATTGCTCTGAAAAAGATCTTGGTTTTTTAGTGACCTGCAAGCCCCATATGAATCAATAGTATGAGATGGCAGCCAAAATATGAATGTGAGGTTATGCAGCATTAAGAGACACATAGTTTACAGGAACAGAGAGCTGATTTTCAAATGAAAGGGAAATTGAAAAGTTAACTCCATAATAGGACCAAATTAGCTGTTTAATTCAAAGTTACAAATTTTTGAAAATAAATGAAATTATATTGCTTGTTTGACAACTTTACAAAAGTTAAAAAATTAAAAACTTAAATATATGAACTATTACAAGATGAGTATGAAATTGATTGATGTTATGTCAGTGTTGTAAAAACACATAATAGGAATGTGCATCCTTCCTAGGGTCTTTTATACTTTTAAAAGTCCCACAATGTGCCCTCAGAAAGGAATGAATTTACACTGATGGAATTTTAGGCAGTATAGTACTGAAACTATGGAAGAAAAATGGTGAGCGCAGTAGGGCCAATGCCCTCCAAATAGCAACAGAATCATTTTGCTTGACATTTCAACTACATTTTTTTTACATCCCTTGCCACTCTTATTAGATCAAATGAACAAGTTTTCAAATTAAATTATAAATGGGATTTTTTTTTGTATGCTGGAATCACAGAGCATTGGAACTTAATCTCATAGTGAAAGAAGCATTAATAAGCAGCTGTTTAGGTTTTCCTTGTTTTAAATTCAACAACTGAATTTAATAAAAATAAATATTAACTGGCTGCAATGTGTCATATGCAGGGGATACACAGATAAATGTCAAATGGGTCCTCCTCATAAAAAGGATATGATCCAAGATAGAATGACATGAACACAAATGAGAAATAGAGGCAAGGTAATAGGATAAAGCAAAGAAGGGATAATTCATTTTCACCTGCGGAGGCACACGACGGTTGCATCTGATTTGGACCTTGAAAGAAGGAAGGGACTTCAACAGAAAGAAGTTGGAGTTTGGAATGAGATGGAATAATCTAAAGCCATCCAAGCACAGTGTTGATGTGAGTAAAGTTACAGAGACAGGGGAAAATAATGCAAGAATGGGTGACAAAGAGAGTCCAAGTTCATTGTAACCTAAGGGATGTGAAAAATATGGGCCAGACCTCTTATGAGGTTCATTTATGCCAAGATCAAGAGGTCATACTTCATTCTAAAGGATTTTTTTCCTTAACAGAAGACCTTTCTGATCATAATCACACATTTAGAAGATTATTCAGGAAGCAGTGTGTATGATGAATGGGGCTGGAGATAGATAATAGAAAAGAAAACCAGTTAGGTGATCAGTAGAGTAATATAGGTGAGATATGATAGAATGGTGAATTATAATGGGAATGCAGAAAAGGGTCCTGGTGCAACAGATATTGTAGAAATAGAAACAAAAGGAAATAGCATCTGATTTGATTTGTCAAGTGAGAAAAAGGGAAGAGTCAAAGATGACGGTAAATCACAGAATCAGAGACTGTTGGAAAAGAAAGAGACCTGGGAGGTTATTTAGTCCAAAGCATACTTCAACTATAGGGGTTGAATTACATAAGGGGCAGGGGAATCAACAAACTACATGCCCAACAACTGATCATCCAGTTTTTGCTTAAAAGTCTTCAAGGAGGTATAAACCACTATCCTTTAACACAGTCTACTACATTTTTGGATATCTCTTAATATGTGGAATATTTTCCCTTACAGCAAAGCTAAATGTGCCTCTTTGATCGTTCCACCTAAGCTCCTCATGCTGCCCTCTGAGGTCAGGCAAAGCAAGGTTAATGCCTCTTCCCAATGCCCCAAGTTTATGAAGTCCATGATCTTGGGTCATTGGAGGATGGATGTCCCTTTAACAAAAATAAAGAAGAAAGGGGGAAATGTTTTAAGAAGAGAAGAAGATGAGTTTAATGTTGAACATGCTGAATTTGGAATGATGGGACTACAGTCTGGGAAAAAGTTAGAGCTGGGGCTCTAGATATGGTCATCAAATGTAACCTGAAAACTTTACTATGGCTCTGATTCTTAGTGCCAATGCAAACTCCCATTTAACAAAGGAAAGGAAATGCTTTAAAGTGCTGACCAGTAATAGCTTACATTTCTTTGGCACTTCAAGGTCTTAAAGCACAAAAATACTTCCCTCACAATAACTGTAAGGGGTAGAGCAAATATTACGATCCAATTTTACATACAGGGACACTGAGGATCAGAGAAGGGAGGTGTCTCGGCCACAGTAACACAGTTAATAAGTGTCAGAGGCATCTCTTGACAATGAATCCAGAGCCCTTCCCACTACTCTGCAGTCATTCTAAATGTTATTGTTGTTGTTTGTCCTTCATTTTCAAAGAGGACTATGATATCAGGAAGGTGATATCAGGACTTGCAAGTGAATTGGATTTAAGGGAGGCAGGGCTGTGCAGAGTCATCAGCCTCACTATCTCCTCCAGAACCATCTGGGTCCAGTGGCAAGACATAAATCAGAATGACTGGAGATGGCCTTCAGTGCAGGGGAAG